GAGAGTGTTTCCACATTAGCTGAGTAAAACGGGCTGCGCCGATGCGATACGACTTTTACATGTGTCATTTTTATACGATACGATATTTATGTCGTGTCAATATCGTATGGAATTCGCAATAAAGCCTTTTTATTACCTTTAAATGTAAATAAATAGAGACAAATGCTTGTAAAATGTTAAAATATGAATGATGTTTAATCATGGATGGATAGAAACGTAATCATGAGAAATCTCATGTAACATAATCAATCAGTCCATAATTTACTTTGTATGAAAATAATTAGCCCCAGGTTCAAAACATAGCAAAAGAAAATGAGCTTTAAAGTAATTCATGCAACTATTATTGATCTAGCCAATAACATGCAATTTAAAAGATTTTTGTTTTGAAAATATTATGAAATTATTTTACCTATAGTAAGTAGGTATCAAATCTTAATCGAACCGACGAAAGCAAATTATCTTTGATGATTACGATTGATGATGGACTACGGGCCGAAAGACAGATTAGGCAGGCTTTCCATTATCATAGGTGGACCGACGAACTGGTGAAGCACTTGGATGGGGGCAACGCAGGAATCTTTGTGGAAATCCTTGGGGGAGGCTTATGTCCAGCAGTGAACGACGGATAAAACGAACGAAAAAATCCAACTGACTCGCATCGTCCAGTGTAAATCCCGCCCAGCAACGTAGCAATGCTACTGCAAGGTTTCACCCCGTTCCGACGTCTGTCCTACGGCTTCGAAGAGGTGAATAATGAACTGAACCGCTCGTTTATGGTACAGTCGGTGGAAAAAACCATTTGAGATTGATCTTAAGTTCTTTAGAATTTAGGAGACATTTGCTGAGACGTTGTGATCTTAACGCTACGCACTATTAATTAAACTGTAATCATAATTGAACTGGATACTAATTCTAGGCTCCATACTATTGTATTGAATGACAAATGTAATCTGTAATCTATCTTCACTCAAAAATCATTTACGTTTTTGATCCATTTATCGTGATTTCGAATTGAGCTATGAGCGTCCTTACTTAATCTCAGAGAATGACTAGCCTATAAAAGTTTAGTTTAGCTGTGAAAATAACAATTCAATGAATTCAGCAAATTCAGAAAATATTCCCTATAACTGAAAGACACGAGAATCTCACACAGAAAGGTAGGTAAGTATTTTCGAAAACGATCTTAGAAATTCTCGCAAAATCTCTACAAAAAGCTTAAAAATTTCACAAAAAGCTCACGAAATACTCGAGTCACGAACCCGTCGAGGTGATCACTTAAAACTCCAAGCATTCTCTCCCCGACTGTACCAACTACAGCGAGCTACAAACAGAGTGCTACGGTCAGAAAATAAAAATCACGAAACTCACGAAGCCATAGATGCCTAACGGGGAAGTTTTCAAAAAGTCACGGAAAGAAAACAACGATCGCTCGGACTCAGTGAGCTCCGCATTTTGAGTGCTTCTCATACCTTGTTTGGGTTCTTGGGAAAATTGCCTCGCCACAAAAATTGCTTCTGAATTTTCATTTGTTAATTGTACGAAGTACTAGTACTCTCTGATTGTAGATAAGTTTTTTGTTTTACGAAATAATTGTATGCAGGTTAACGTGCCTTAATAAAAAATAACACAATTTTAATGTGTTAAAATAACACATTTGGAAAAAAATTTTGGATTTATGATTTTGCTAAGAAATCAAGTCATTTGGTCAAGTCATATGAACCGCATTATAGACTTTTTGCCAGACCAAAACTTTCATGAAACTAGCTAGTATACGATATAACTTAAATAAAAAAGAAATGTGTTTTGTTTTCACTTATTCAGAAGAGAAGGAAAAGAGAAGCAAGAAACAAATCACCGCATATTGCATAGAGCAGCGCTTTCCGGAGCTTTGTCAATCATTGACAAGCTGGAAAGTAATTTTCTTGAGCTTTTCTCGCTTTAGAAATGGATGGGAAGACGCTTTATGGATGGATGTATTGGTTATTTTTTAAAAGATGGATTGATTCATAATTTTACTTCTTAGAATTAAAAGCTTTAAAATTTTGTATAAATATCAATGAAGTGGGTTGGGAAATGCAAGTTTGTATCTTTATGTAACAAAGCCAGGTATTTCACCACAATCAGCTATATGAGTACCTACTCCCGCCATGAAGAGGATCTAATACATTTTCAAGTTACTCGTATTGCAACTCTTTACATAAGCTACCAAAAATAGCTGATTTTCCGAAAAATTTTGTGACAGATTGGAATCCGAAAGCGTGGCTGCTAATTATTTATACTCTGTACAGTCGGTAGCATATCAGGCTATACATTTATGTAGCACAATAACACCTTTTGCAACTACATAAGGTAAACTTGAAGTGCAAACAAATTGTCGTCAGCAAATCTTAAGAGCCCTAGGGAAGCAATAACATTGCCGCAATCACAGTCTCTGGAGGCACCAGCAATCAATCGCTGGCTGAAAGTAATTTAGTTTTCCCGCCTTATAAACAAGCACCAACATGACCCCAGGGCCTCCGTCAAATGAGCGGAGGAAAAACAGTACGGCTTCTAAGAAAACAGAATAACGGTAGAGTGCGATTGGCGACTTGAGTTGTTGATTTATAGTGAAAAAGGGTATTGTACATAGTTTATACATAGCTGGCTGAAAGTTAAGGTTGTGGTTTCGATGATATGTTAAAGTAAAGACCACGAGCTTCAAAGACCAAAAAAACAAGGTGAAATCAATGATGATAACAGTGTTTTACTATGTAAATATTTAACAGTTGATGACGAAACTATTAACAAATTAAAATGAAAATACCCTTCGAATACTAAATGGTGTTAAGTGGTTAATTCAATAATTGCCAATAATCTGACAATTAAGTTACGCCCATGTAACACGGAATGCAGCAAGCAAATGAGATTAGTGCATACCAGTATCGATTTATTCCTTGACCTGCATGTTGAGAGAGATAAAATAAAAAATAAACTAACATTCACAAACATCAGTCCTAGCGTTATTAAAAATTGAATACACTGCGACCTGGATAGGTACTACAAAACGCGATTCATATTCCACTTTATTTGGAAGTACTCCAAAAAACTTTTTACAAAATAATCTAAACTTACACAGGAGCATCTGCGAAGTTCGCAAGCTACCTAAGTGAAAAGTTACTCGTGAAATTACATTTCGTCGCGAGAGAGTGAAAAAAAAATCTCCGTTTTTCGTCCGTGTTAAGAATATAAGAGGCTTAGTATAACGAAATCGGTTTTTTTGGAAGTGGTGCAAAGTCCCCGGGCGTCTGTGCCTCAAACTTTTTTCATTCACAAAAAGGCAACTCAAAATCCCTTGTTTGATTTCGCCAGTTAAACCTTCGAGCTTTGTATAGGAGAGGACTTAGGTGCTGCATAATATCGAACCTTTTCTTTTAATTCGCAGATAAGGGTACGTTTTGAATATGTTAAAACCTTTTTTCAGTCCTGTAAGCATTTGTTTACAGATGTTCATAATGTTCGCCTACAACCCAAAATGGTTTGTTTGTAACAGACACATTTAAAGTTGAGCTCATACTTCAAACCTTTTAGGGTTATTATTCATGTGAAAATGACTTATTGGACACCAACTTAGAGTATCCTAAGTTAATCTATGTTGAATAAAATATTATTACTCTCACTGAAATCGATTAATCGTAGTAGTCTAGTAAACATACTGATGATGAATTCGTAGCACTGTTAAAGTCGTAGTACTGATAAATTCGTAGCACTGACAACGTCCGTAGCCAAAACAATAGTTGGTCCGTTGCATTCCACGAGTCCTAAAATATAGATTGCGAGACTTTCGCAGTACAATCGCACTTCGGTGCAGATGAACAGTTAGTTCCGTCGAGTCTGATTACTTGTAATATTTGTTTTCTTTTAGTTTTTAATCAATACAAAGCTCGTAACATTAACGGTTCTAGGAAAATAAAAAATGGTTCATGAAGTTATTCAAGGAGAGAGCCTAGACATAGTTTATTTATAGGGCGAGACAGATTATAAATCAAATTAAAATTGGTCTAGAATGTTGTTTACTTAATCCAATTTCTCATAATTTAGGCTAGCAAAAATAGGTTTAAAATAGAGTACCTAAGGTTGTACTGCATTAGGTTAAAAATAAAGTAGAACTCTTTAAGCGTTTTGAAATATGGTCGCTTTTTCTGTAGCGATATAAAGTTAAAAAAAAATACATTTTAGTAAATAACAAAACTTTGAAAATTACAATACATTTGTATGCGCCTGTAAAGTTTGCGTTGACCCGCTAGACCAAACTTAACTAACTTGCAGCAGTGCTAGAAAGCCAGAACTAGTCATGTGTGGTTCCCGGGAATAACTGTTCCTCGGTTTGGGAAAATTACCGGTAGTTGGTAATAAAAAATAGTGAGGATTTATGTAAGATCCTTTTATATATTTAGATTAATAAACACTTTGCTACTTCTTTGTCGCGCAGTCGGATAAAAAAAGACTTAACGAAACCACAATACGAGTCAATTTTATGGGCAAATTAATTCATAAAGTACGCCCAATCCCAAACTTATAGATATAGACGTTTCTAAGTCTACTAAAAGAGTAAAAAAAGTGCTTTAGGGATGCATATAAGATTAAATCTTGCTAGTTGGGTTCCCAGTCAGGTAAAAATTCCCGGGAATAGAACAACTCTAGTCAGAACACAAGCACAGCGTGAGTTTTAGCTACGAAAGCAATTTCGTTCCACTAAGAAACAGTTGTAGTCAAAATAAAACTTTGTTCGATACGTTTACTGCATTGATTTGAGAAAAGTCGGGCAAATGAAGCAACGGTAAACTATTTGTTAGTTTTCAATCGATGTGCAAAATCATGGATTTTGAAAGGAAAGTTGGAAATGAAAAAGAAGCGCTGAAAAGAAAATATGTTACGTATTTTATAGATTTTTCTTTTATTAAACTTATTGTTAACTTTCAGTAGGTACCTACTATTTAATAAAATATGAAAATGCAACTTACTTAAATGCGCCAGTTTGCCGGATTTTGAAAGACCTGAAACAAAAATAAACAAGTGTAAAAATACGGTTATTTTATATTTTTGACAAGGATTTAGGGTTGAATTGATTTTTCGCTCTTTTAATTGACACTCTGAACTTGTAAGAGTCGAAACTTACATTGCTTGACAGGTTATTTCTTGAATAGCGTGTCAAAATATCAGCCCTTCACGGACAAAATTCTCAAGTCTAATATTTCATAATCTCAAAGTCAATAGTCACAATAATTAGTTATTTCCTTATTAAAATAATAATAATCAAAATGAAAACAATCAGATTCCTGTAGGTACCGAAAGCATTTTAATGAAAATTAGAGAACTTAACACTATGAAGACAGATCAAGTAACCTCGATATTTCCTTGCGCACACGAACAGTGTTGTGCTAAAAATTTTAATAGTACATAACTGGGAATTTTTGGTAACGCTTTAAATAAGTTTTGCATAAACTCCAGTGACTTGAGTGATTGATTTTATAATTCCAGTGAAGAAGTTAATAATCTCAAAAATTGGCTGATAGAATAGTAAGCACTGTGTAAATTATATTATAAGACCTCATAATATGTAAAATACCTTTTCTATGCAATAAATGTTTGAATTTGAATTCTTTGATTTTTTCTACCTGTCAGCTCCACAGAAAACGTTAATACCGAACGAAAACGAACTCTATGAATATACAAAAAGTGCTAGAAAAAGGTATCCAGCTGGTACTTCACAATAATGATAGCAAGGTTCCAGTTATGAACCTTCCGAGCCTATTTTTGTCTAATAACACAATTGACTGAAAATAATAATTACGCGGAGGCATTCATATAAACTCTCGCATAGAACTTTTGACAGATTTTGCCAATTACATTCCTGGAAAACGCCGGTCTAAGTAAAACAAACAAATAACATTCCCATTTGTGAAAGCAATTACAAATCAGTAATTTTATTAAAAGTTAAGCATGTTATCCATACAATATGAAATGCGAAAATAACTTTGTGTTACATTTTCACGCTTAAGCCGCTAACCTAATTTTGATTAATTTTGGTTTGAATTGACTGACTGTATCTGTCGTCTTAAAATTAAATGTTTTAAAATTGTCTACATAATGGAAAACTCACAGTTTGATTATTAATTATATGAAACCGCGCATGCTTATGATTTTGGTAATAAATCAAGTGCTTCTTCTTTTCATGTGGACAACAAACCTACACAGTGTCATCCCAAAACTCCGCCACAAGAGTGGCGAACCGAATCAAGTGCTTTTGATCAAAGAATGTGAATTTTGTGACAAAACATAATCCACGCGAGCAAAGCCGTAGGCAGAAGCTACTTTTATCTATAAGAACTCTTTTCCTTATGCGTGCATGGATATGATTTTATTAAATCTCGCCTTATCATTCACGTCAAAGCGTCAAACTTTCAACTTAATGAGTTAACATTTTTCATTTTCTACAAAACTGACGCTATCAAAAACCTGTCAAGTTGTCGTTTACAATTCACAATTATCTCCCTAATCGTTTCCCTCGGGACTGATGACAGCTGCTCCCTAAAATCAAATAATGAATAAAACCTCAAGACTAAGGAGTTTTCACCCCTGTGCTAACGAGAAAAGTTGAGTTTAGCTGATACGGTGCCGCGTCTCACTCTCTAAGCAACGTGCTATTGTGAAGAGAAACGCGGGTTCATGAAGTTTTTAGATGTAAATTCGTGAATATTGGTTAAATAATGTTATAGAGCAAAAATATACAAATTAATTGTGTAAAACGATGCTGAAAACTTCTAGATCTTAAAACAAGTTGTTTATGTTAAATGATTTTGATTTTTCTCAGAAGATTCAGAAGGATTCTTGTCAAGAATGTCCAAATAGAAGTTCCATTTAGCATAGGCTTGAAACTACGTTTTTAAGTAGGTATGAGTTTGCGAGCAAGACAGAGACAGGACATAGAGACCTAAGTCAAGTAAAACTCACAGGCTCCCGCTCCTTGCCGCTCACTTCTGGTTCATCTGCCGCTAAAGCGCGAACGCAGACGTGACAAGCTCGATGAGCGGGATCAAACCTACGACAATCCTTCCTTTTTAGGTGACGTATCACTAAGAGGCGTCACGTCACACAGCGTCACGTTTACCGGTAAGAAATCCGCTCCGTTCAGAACTTTAAAAGCGCCCTTACTAGACAGTAACACGAAATGATTGCCGCTCGCAACTATCAGCGATTCTGGTTCGTCGATTAATTTTACTGCCATAATTATGTGTGGTAGAGATGTGCTAAAGATTACAAAACCGCTGCCCTTATAACCATAGACAAACCCTTACCGGACAGTAACACGGAATGATTGCCGCTCGCAACTGTCAGCGATTCTGGTTCATCTGCCGCTAAAGCGCGAACGCAGACGTGAAATTAAAACCGTCCCTTATCCAGACGTTCAAATCCGAGTGAAATGTGGGATTATTCAGGAGAGAGAGCACTTTGTTGAAGGATTTATCGTTGTAGTGCTAGATTATGAAGTTGTTTCGTCAGCTACTATGAGAGATTTATTATGAAGCAAATCCTTTAGTATTTATTTATTAACATAATAAGCATGTTATTTTTATGGCGACAGGTAGGTTAAGGCGGTCTGATTCTCCTTAAGAAAAAGTATAAGTTCAGTGCTAGAAAGTGAGTTGGTGACTTTTGAACAACTCTTGAAACACAATAATAGTTTAATCTATTAAAACATCTTGTAAAGAACACGTTAAGTATCAGCTAATACTGCATCAAATCAGACTACAGATTAGACGAGAGAGAGAGATCAGATTATAAATGACATTATTGATTTGACAGCTGCCACATAATTGTTAATATTGATAATGAAAGCGTGGATTACAATTTGTTTACAAACATTAAACTACCGGAAAAACGACCAAAGCTTCCAATGACAATAAACCGCAAATTGCCTCTCACCCGCAACTAACCAAATTGGTTAAATATTCACCCACTATTTACACACTACCCCCAAATCAAAGTAATTCGATGCAAAACACTCACCGGTAATCGAACTCGAGGCCCTTTAGCGCGCAAACACGAAACTAAGCCAAATGGGGCGCACCGACAATGTCCTCGACACCAGACGTAATTACTGAGGTCCCCGTTCGAACAGATGGGGATGAACGGGGAAGTGGGATAGACACACCTTTTGTAATTGTTACTTACCTACTTTACACCTAAATAAAAAATGCAATAACTAAGAGCACATAGGCATGCAAGTGCATAATCAGCGCCATCATCATTATCACTATTTACTATTTAAACGATATCAAAATTACAAAATAAATTACACTAACGTGGTAAACATACCTAATCGCACTAATAATAAAGGCGAAATTTTGTGAGTGTGTATGTTTGTTACTTCTTCACGTCTAAACGGCTAAAGCGATATTAATAAAATTTGGTATGGAGTTAGCTGACACCATGGATTAACATATAGGCTATGTTTTACCGTGGGTAACACCACGGGGCAGAGCTAGTTTTCTATAACTGATGTATCATCATTATTTAGATTGAAATTACCTTCAAGCTTCCGTTTTCCTAAACTCGTAAAATTCTGATGCCTTCAATACATGCATCATCCAGACAAGTTCACTCCACTATAGGTGTGATAGATCAAGGGAACCCCTACACTACTTTTACCAACATCACTGTATTTTTTAATTAATAAATCATTCGTTCGTTATGAATCAAAGGACGTCCACTGATGGACAAAGGCTCCCACAACGACAAATCAAATATGTCGATATGAATGAATCAGTGATAGTATGTAAGCTTTCCTAATCAATAGATACTTATTAAAAAGAAGGAAAATAGACCAGATATACATTTAAAACGAATACTCTGAAATTGGACGCAGCGCCCCGGATTACTGAACTTAAAAATCTTCCGCCATTAAATTATAGAATTAATAATACTTGGGCCCGAGTGGATGCTACTGCGCCGGGTCGTAAGCCGATTAAAAACCACGACGAGACTGCAAGAGAATACAGACAGAAAGGATGACGAGCATACTACGAACGCAGGACAAGCTTTGCCTTGTATGGGTCTAAATAGAGACTAAAAATATCCAGATGCTGCCCACATCCAACTGCTTTCCATGATCGTCGGTTGACTGAGCAGGGGCCTGCCCTTATTGTGTTTTCCGGTCTATGGTGTAAGACATATGCCACAACATCTCTCAGTTTTTTTAAACGAGATACTTATCAAGGATAATAATTATACAGGGTTTTAGGTAAATGAGTATATGAGCCGACACTAGCCCATGTTAACATGGGCATATAAATGGTATGGTGAAGTCAGAAATTTGATATTATCCTTTTATTTTTTTTAATTTTCATACAAAATATTTTTTATAAAATCCGATTAGTATGAAAATTAAAATAATTAAAATTAAGATATCAATTTTCTGACTTCACCATACCATTTATATGACCATGTTAACATGGGCTAGTGTCGGCTCATATACCCATTTACATAACACCCTGTATAGGACTATTCTCTTTCTGATAGCATAAATGTTTTCAAATTATCTATTTATGACTTGAAAGTACTTCGATATCCAATCCAAGACTAAACAAGTTACATTCAAGTATGTAGTTAATAATACTAATTGCACCAAAGAAGAGTAGTGCATATTATATGTAAGGAGGAGAACTAATAAGAATTGAAAAAATATTTGTAAACACTCGAATGATTGTTCATAACCTCAGGATACTATTTAGTTGTTGTGCCAACTGCTAACAACTTTTAACATTACAAGTCAATTGAAATCCTTTAAAATCATTCAAGATAGAGCTTGCTCAAAGATAAAAACAAAATAAAAGCTATTGGCTCGCCAAACAACAAATCAGTGTGTAGTTTCACGTAGGGAGTTTGCAACTATATTATAGAAAAGCTGTTTTAGTGTATGAATGTTATTTATGAGTCTCTATGTGATATTTTTACTTTTAATGTCGCTATGTGAACATTAAAAAGAATACCATTT